TGGAAAATACAAATTTAAAAAAAGAATACCATTTATAATCTCATCTTAAAAAAAGATTTAAAAAGAGATGTAGAAGATTCTTAAAATTATCATATTCTTTTTTTGTGACAGGATCTTACGATAGAGTTCAGGCCTCAAACTCACACCTCAGCCTTCCAAGTGTGGGATTAGGGTGTGCACCATCAGACCAAGTTCAAAATTCTTAAAATTCTTAAGAAAACAAAGCACAAAATATCACTAAAAGATATTTATGAAGATCTAAATAAATGGGTATAAATGCAATGTTTGCAGCTAAGAGGATAATAGCATGATGTTATTTTTTTCAAATATAGATATATATATACATAAATATATATTATATCTAATCAATACATTGACAGACTTTTTCATAAAAACTGAGAAGTTTAACATAAACCTATAAAAGAACAAAAACAAACTGATGTTTTGGCACAAAAAAGAAAGCAGTCTCTAAGAAGTTTGTGGATACTTGCCATATCTAATGAGAATGGGTTACAAAGCAAGAGACAGGCTGCTTACTGGAGTGAATTATACAACTTGTCTAAGAAACCAAGGAATACTACCGGAATCTGAAAGGCACTCTAGGTTAGTAAGAAAAGGTTTAAAAATTGCAATAGAAAAAGGGGGGAAAAAAAAGTAAGGAAGAGCTTCACTGAGGAGGAAGCAAATATAGAAAACAATGGTCAACCTCACTAGGAAGAAGGGTACACATTTAAATAGCAATGCAAGCTGCTGCCTTTAGGTTGGAAAGAAGTTTTTAAATGTGATAAAAGTAAGCATTAGAACTCTTATATACTGTTAATGGCAGTTTAAATTAGTACACACATTAGAAAGCAATTTGGTATATATCATAAAGTTGGAAATACACAGAATTCTAAAACCAGTAAAGCCAGTTGCTTCATTTTTTGTTATCTATCTTAGAAATACATTTGCCAAAATCCCCAATTATAACAATGTCTACATAGCACTGTCTAAAAATAAATGTTAATCAAAAGAAAAATGGATAAATAAATTGTAAATATTCATATAATGCAATATACTATTACATAAATGAAACTCCATGTACCAAAATGGATAAATCTTGAAAACTAGTATGGAGTTTTATGATAATACTTATATAAGTTTTAAAAACATGAAATACAGTACAACGCTACTAATACTTTTAGAATCATGTGTATGTAGCAAAGAAATAAAACCATGTATGGATGAAAACTACAATGAGGATATTGATTAAGCTGGGAAGCGTAAGGGAGGAGAATGGAACAAGACAGAGAGAGATTGGCAGGGATTTCCATTATGCCTAACTTCTTAAATGGTATGTTCTGATTGCTTAATATGTTTCATTGTTTTAAAAAGTTAAAGAGAACTAGAAAGTGAGTGCATGGGTTGGCCATGTGGTGAGTATTCATGGAAAATGGAAGAAGTGTATGAGTGGATAAGAAGACAATCTCACTTGAGGTTGTCTGGGAGGAAAGCCAAGTTAGTAAAGGAAATAATTAGTGGTAAAGGTAGTCCAGAAAGGATTTGAAAAGAAAAAACTCTAAGGAAATTAGCAAGAATTTTGAGTGAGGAGTCAGATTTTCAAAGCAAAGCATGAGGGCAAAATATTTTACAGCAGTGTTTTGGAATAACTCATGATAAACAAGAAATGATCTGGGGACTGGAATCTAGTAGGGTTCAATAATCTTGTAACTTTGAAGAAGGATTAGAGGCTTGCTTACTAGATTTTTAAATAAAAAGCATGGGGTGATTACATGAGACATTTGACAAAATCAAAACCAGGGTGTGTAAGGGGTATCAGTATGCTGCACTGAGATCTAAAGACATGACTATATTAATAGTGGTTTAAAATGTGACATAAATTACTTAAAATTTTTCAAGTTATATAATTACAAGATTTGGTTCCACCTGAAAATCTTAACATATTACAAAATAAATGTTGACAATGTGTGATGTTACTCTCGAAAGGAAATTTTAAAAACAGAGTATTGCATTTGATTGGTGTCACCAAGTGTTCCAAGCAATTGGTCCAAGTACTAAACAATGATAAATCATAATCACAAATTAAGAAAATTCCAGGGAAGGCAACCAAAATGTTTTGACTGTAGAAAGTTCTTGGAACTACAGTGAAGCATTCTCCAGGACTTTGGAAACAAAATTGCTTTTTGAGGATTAAACTAATAAACTACGTCCTTGTGGGATTAGGCAGCTACAGGTTAATTTGACACTGTACAGGGGTATCTATACATTTGAGTTACATGTACCTCAGGGAGGAAGGATGCAATAGACAGTAACAAAGGAGGAAGCAATGTAAGTAACAAATTATCCCTTCTCTGTAAAGGCTGAGCAAATAGACATGGGCAGAACAGCATAAAACACACAAAAATTCAGACCCATGTAGGTTATACTTTTCATTGTTAATCAGTAAATTGGATTCTAATTTACACACCCAAAGCTTTAGACAGCATGAGTTTTCCAGACCTGGCAGTTAAGGGCCATGATGTCAGATGCCACAACCTTTCCTTGACACAGGTCCCTTGCCATGGAAGAACACAAGGATGCCAACAATATCTAGTTAGAAGGAAAGAAGCTAGAGGTGAGATCTGATGCTCATCTTCAAAGACCTAGTTCTTCTTATATAAACAGAGCTAGACTTTTAATTGTTGGGAGTAGAACAAAGAACAATGAGTAGAAAGTCCAAAGAGAAAGATTTCGTCTGGCTAAAAGAAGGAACATGCTAATCATTTGATCTTCCTTCTACCGACAAAGAGCTATGTCTTTGTCAGGATTCTTTGATCATAAGCAACAGAACAAGTTAGGATAGCTATAGCAAACAATACAAATGAACATATGGGAGGTATCTCACAGATGTGGAAGAAAGGCTGAAATATTCAGATACAGAAGTGGCACAGCAAGGCAGCTGTAGTGACAGACAGCAAGAAAACAAAGGATTGCCTCGTTGGCACAACTGTGTCATTGTGATGAATCACCCTGTGGTGATTTCTTCCCTAGAGTTACTGGGAAATAAACCCAGATGGACAAGTGGCTCAGGTGGCCCCTTCTTGTCTGTCCTTCCCCTGCCAGGACAGGATAGGGAGCCATCCGTGGAAAGGAACTTGGATGACAGCCCCATCAGTTTCCTGCAATGGAGAGAAATTATTTTACCAAAGGAAATTTGACAGAAGGAAAAAAATACCAACACTTCTTGGATCTTCACCCTTGCAAATGCAAAAGGAGGAGGCCACCTATCTGTCAGGAAGGGCTTTCTGTCCTGGAAGGAAGCTGGAAAAGGCAATTTAGAAGGCATTTTCTTATTCATTTTTCTCATCACTGACACACAGGGTCATTAGGAAAGGTCCAATAAGGAAGACCTGGGAAGGATACAGTGCAGCGCACAAGAAAGTGAGCAGGGTGGCTCAGTGGATTAATCAGAAAAGAAAGACAAGGAGCTATTGGTGTTGGTTGCCTCAAGCTTAATACATGTATATTAGGAACCATCATCTTTCTTCTGCTCCCTTGATGGGAGCAGATAAATGAATGAAGTGAGATGTAATCGAAGTTAGTAAATGTGGAAGGCATGTAGGCTTGTTCTCCAGACCTGCCGGCTGGGTAGGACGCTACTCTGAGGGTTTAAAGTTTTGACAATGCTCCTAATAAGGGAGGCACCTCTCAGCCTTATCACTTAAACTAGTGGGGATATAATAGGACCTCAAATTCTGAATTTGATAACTGTAAAACAAAGCAAGCGATGAACAGAACAAAAGAAATCATTGACCACTAGTGACCTCTGGTGGAAATATACTTTAGGGACCTTGGATTTTTGGTTTGTTTTGTTTTTTTCCCATTAGGAAAATAAAAATCAGCAGCATACTCAAGCCAATTTATTTCCAGAGGAATGAAGAAGGGGGCTGCTAGAAACAGCACAGAAATTCTACTCAGAAGGAGGACACGCACCAGGGACACTGTTTCACGTGTTAGGCTACGTTGACAAACATGCTGGAAAAAAGTGGACATGTGATTGCTGCTGAAGATACTACCTGAGAAAAGAAGGGTTGTTCGGGCAATGACTTAGCGGTCAGTAGGGAGATTTGGCATGTTCATGGCAGCCAGCAAGAGAGCACGCAGGCATGCTTTATTATAACATGGAAGAGAGCCGTTAGAGCTGAAACATGTACACATGTGCCAATTCCGAACTTTATGGTTAGAGTCTTAACACGTTCTGTTTTCCAGCAGGCGTCTGCGTCAAGGGCTAGCAAAGACTTTGAATTGTGTGGGTGGGACAAGAGGATAAGCGGCCTAGGCCTTTGCGGTGGAGCCAGTCTCACAGAGGGTCTGAGTGCAGCCAGCGTCAACATCAAGCCATGCCGAGTACTCTGCACCCATCCCCTTTGCGATCTGACTGATCACACCAGGGGTTAATAAGGGATGGATTGAATTAAACGGGGAGAGGTGTAGAAGACAGAGAAGAGGAAAAATATAGAAAAGAGACAACACACAAGTAAACAGAATCAGCATTACCAACCCCTGGCAACTGTCACCTCTGGTAGCAGGCGACTGTCATCCTTGTCTCTTAGTACCTGTGTGGCAGGAGGTGTCCCCCTGCTGTCTTTCACTACTCAGCCTCTCCAGCACACACCCTGCCTCGTTTGCTGATGCTGTTGTATGATGCGGCAGGTCTGCTTTTTCTTGAATGTGTTACCTCGCCTCTCCATGTCATTTCAAGGATGCAAAAACAGACCTTAAATAATCCATTTGTGAGAATTCCACTCTGGAATTCCAGAGTTCTAGTCTCTAGGAGTGGACAAAAGGTGGCCTTGCTGCTCCCTAAGCTAATGACTTCCCCAGTGTTATTTCTTAGACACCACGTAACCCACAGCACCTCTTTGTCTTGCAAAGGTATTACTTTTCCCCAAGAAATATACAATCCTTTGGCTCTAGGATAGGCCCTTTCAGGGATTTGGTGTATAAAGCAGTTTACTTACTGATGATGAGCTAATTATTTTAATCTGCTCCAAAGCTTCTGTTAAGCTGTCTTCAATCTCAGAGTCATCTAAGGAGAAGAGGTCCCCAGCTCGTGAAAGATCTTTTTGTCCCAAAACCAGCCTGAACAGTTGATGCATGTTGAGGAGTTTGATCAGTAAGCCATATGTTCAGCTCTCTGAGATTCATAAGAGAAAAACTTGCAACAGAAGGTGAATTTCATATTCCACAAGAGGTCATTTTTCTCCAGACTTTAAGGTCTTCTGTGGCACTTCTGTAAGGGAAACAAATGATACAATATAGTCACTGGCAGAATAGCATGAGCTCAGAGTGCGACGCTGGTGCCTGGCAGGGAGAAAGAGAGAGAAAGGGAGACTTGGAAACACACAGGGTAACAGATCCTGACTTGATAATCTTCAAATGAGCTCTTTCTTTAGTTTAGTTCAAACTTTACAAAGCAGCACAAAAACCATACTTACTTTTCTCCCATTTTTTTTCTATGTCTTTCCACATTCCATGTAAAAGGAAACAAGTCGATAGGCAATAAACATGCCCAACAAGTGCCAGATATTTCCTAAACAGATAACCATGGAAATCAAACAGAAAGGGAGATAAAAGAAAAAATAGAGCACAGGAAATACGCTTTAGACCCAAATGCCTAAGCCCCTTCTTGAGAGCTTTGACAAAGCTACCAGCTCCTACCCTCTTGGGGGGACTTCCTGGCTATATTGGCAATAGAAGTCCCCTTTACATCTGTGCAGAAGGTGACCTAAGGACTTGCCCTATTCCTATGCATTTTCTATTCCAAAAACAACGAAATAAAGAACTCTGCCTAAAAGTGTGGGGTTAGAAAATTCTGTACTGAACATCAGCATGAACTTCAACTTGAGCACTGACATTAAACATGATAGCACTGCAGTGTAGGTTAAAAGAGAAGTGTTTTCAGATCAGTCAATCCTCCCTATATTCCCATTGCTGAAATAATAAAGTCCTACTGAACTTTTCATTCAACTAACAGTCCACAGAGAGTATGCAATGGCACAAATTAGATATATGGTTATTCTCATCAGCCCCCTTTTGGATCTAATAAAAGTATAGACCAATTTGTATTAGTACAGACGTTAGTAATCATTTAAAGGAGGCCAGGGAGATTTAATGAATTCCCCAAGAATCCATTGTAGCTGTGGCAGGGCTTGTCTCCTGATTTGGAACCAGCAGGCTTCCCCCAGAATCTACAGTGGACTGGAATCACTTCAAACATGCAGATAACTTACAAATGCAGCCACATGTGCAGAGAGTGACTGCTTAGAGGAGTAATGGCGAACCTTTTAGAGCTTGCAACAATGATGAACAGCTGGCTGCAGCACAAACGACATAGGTTCGCCTATGGCCTGGAATGAGTTATTTAATAAAGCAATAAAATGCTTCTGCTCAGCATTTCATCCCTCTGAGGATGGAAAGGGTGAGGAGGGTTGGACGTTCCTTCAGTGACTTCAAACCTTCCCTCCAAGGTTGCTGTGGGTGTGCTTCTTTGTGCTGAACACAATTTTAAAGTTTCAAGATACATACGTTGTGGTCTCTAAACACAAGCTAAGTCATTCATGAGATACTGAACTAAATAAGCTATCACAGGATTTAAATGATGCAATGCATGGACAATATTGAGATTTTTCAGGTCGGCCATCATGGCTTACACATGTAATCCCAGCACTCGAAAGGCTGAGGCTGGAGGACCGCCATGAGTTCAAGGCCAGCCTGGGTTATATAAGTGAATTTCAGGCCAGCCTACACTACATAGTGAAACCCTGCCTCAAAACCCCCAAATATTAGGGTTTTCAAAGATATTATTGCTTATATGCAATTTTTGACCTATCTATTAGCTTTAGAAAATGATGCCCAGTACTTACACATCTTTGTCTGTGTGCCAGGCACAGATTTTTCTGATTAATGTTGACTCATTAGATATACATAAAGTTGTTACGAGTAAAGACATATACCTAAAGACGTATCATATCCCATTTTTTAAAGTGAGAAACTGTAAGGCAGTTAAATACAGTAGCATACCCCAGTACTGCAGATGATAAGCTGAGGAGCTGGGATTTAGACCTAGAAATTCCAGTGCTGGGCTCCAAGTTCATGCGCACTATGATACAGTGATGTGAGGCTACTCTTCAGAGTAGCAACCCTATAAGCAATAGTAGCAGGAATAAAGGTATTGGTGGGGTCATAAAGTAAGAAAAGGAACACCTCTTCTGTCCAGCATCCTTGTCCCTCCAGGATTTAAAACAACCAGACAGCAGGAGAGTCACAAGCAGAAAAGCTCGGGAAGAGGAAAGAAGAGAACTGGACAGAAAAAGAGCAGACTGAGGGTACTGCAGAGAAGTCTGCACCCTGGCAGATGCGGAAGTGCATTATAATATCTACCCCGAAATTCAGGCAGTGTTTTCCTGAATCTTCTTTTTAACACATTCTCTTTGTGGTCTTAGGTATCTGTAGAGATCATCTCAATGAAATAATATCCATGAAAACAGAAAACTAGGTAGAAATAAGTTCACCTCAAAGTTTGTTTGGATATTACCTGGCATTTCATAAGTTTGTTTGGATATTACCCTGGCACTTCATTTGTCTGAAGTTTGTTGGATATTACCTGGCATTTCCTAAGGCAGATCCGGGTGCCCCAGACACATGCAAGCAGGTGCTCCAAGAAGGAGCAGGGATCTGTGCAGGAGCAGAGAAGCACCCAGAGGCTCTTCATCTGATGGGGATCCACATCACGGTGCCAGCTGCCACCGATACTCTTGAATGCCCAAAGAGTGCAAAATGTTTCTTGGGGCCCTGAGCTGTACAGAAAGACCTTCTCAGACCCAGGCATTGGGTGAGGAGAGATGAAACTTGCATCAAGCACACTGCAATATGGGATGAGTGACAGAAACGTCTCCTGGATATTTCAAAAAGCTTAGGGAAGAGGACAAAGAAGGGCTTTGTGGAGGAAATGGCCTTTGAGCAACACCACTTAAGATGGGTAAGACTTCTACAGGTTTCATTCACTACGTATGTGCGGAATATATAAGAAGTCATTTGTTTGGGAAGGAGATTCAAGGCCCAGCCTGGCCATTCAGAAACGGTGGGACCTTGGTTCATGCTTTTCCCTTCCCCGAGCCTCCGTTGTCTCATCTGTAAGGTGAAATTAATGTTTCCCTAGTCAAGTTTACTGGAGTCTTTTGACAATCGAGCTGATGAAACGTAAAAAAGATCTTTGCAAAATTATGATGTTGCTGAGGCTCAGATAATGACATAAAGGCCCCAGAATCAGCCTCAGAAAGGAAGTTTTTCTCCAACTTTTTCCTGTCTTCTTGTCTCCTGATCTCCTTTCTCTCCCCCAAGGCAAGTCACAGAGAGTAGAATTTCTCTTGTCCAACACAGGTCACAGAAATTGGAACTCCTCCGTTCCCCCAAAGCAAGCCATAAAGCTGAAAAATACTAATTTCTCCCTCTCTGTCTTGGAGCAGTCTACAAGGAAATTTTCCAGCCTACCTTTTCTGATAGTAGACTATACGACTCCCATTCCAGACGGGGTCCCGCTCCGTACCAGGGAGGAAGGAATGCTTCCCAGAGAAGCCAACAAAATCTGAATGGAGGATAGACTTTACTGGGTTTCTCCATTTGGTTTACTAACATTAGATTGTACTTTTTTTTGTCCAATCAGTTTTAACTGACTGTCCATGCTTCACTGCAACTAAGTTTAGAAATGAAGGGTTCACCTTGAGTCTTTGGGTCATCAAGTGGAAGGCTTCTGTGTCACAGTAAAAGTATGAGCAAATATGTGTGTCACGCTTTTCTCTGGTTAACCGGGGTTTTGGTTTAAGGGTGTCAGCCATGACCCTTTAGGAAGGCAGGAAAGACCTCATCCCTGCTTTTGCCTCTACATCACCAACAACTGGTATTCAGTAGGTGTTTGCCAGCAGTGTTTGGGCACTACTCTGAGTGTGTCCCAAGTATTGAGTCACTTAGTTGTAAGGATAACTTGATGCAACGAAAATTTGATATTCAGGGAGGAAAGCAACCAGTGACCCAAAGACACCCCAAGAAATGCTGCAGTTATGGCTGAAACCAGTTGGTCTACCAGGACAAAGGCCTCTTTGGGTGTTGGGGAGTCATGTACACAACCATGTGTGAGAAATGCTATTGGGGGCCGGGGATATAGCTCAGAGGCACAAGCGCCTGCCTGGCAAGCACAAGGTTCTGAGTTTGATTCCTGGTATCAGAAAAAAACAGAGAGAGAGAGAGAGAGAGAGTGCTATTGAGCTGCCTCTCTTCCCACCAGGCCTCGCTTACAGAGCACCCCAAACGTCGCACTCTACCACTCTTTTCTGAATAAACAGCTGCTAGTCCCTTTAGTTTTCAGCAGTTCTGCTCATGTTTTGCTGAGATGTCTGGCTTCTCCTGCTCGTCTTTTTTTTTGCAACAGCAGAGCTAGTCCAAGCCAGATCAAATTCTGCCTCATATTTTGAGAAACTCCTTACACTGATCAACGGCATAGTCCTGGGGCCTGCGTGCATGTGTGTACATGTAAAGACTGTGTACACACACGTGCACTCATGTTAGCACGCACATATACGCATGTACGTGTGCCTGTTTAAAGACTTCCTGTACATCAAACTCTCTGTAAGACACCTCTTTCCCTTAGTGCTCCTATCAGCCTTGTAGGAAGATACTATTCCATGAAAAGGAAATAGGACCTGTGCGGTGAAATATCATGGCCAAGGGTACACAAACCAAGATTCACGTCGAGGTTTACATTGAACCCTATACACACACACACACACACACACACACACACAGGCACGCACACACAACCGGACTTCTAAAATTTCTTTTTACTTTGCATCTTTAATTTTTTTCCTTCATAAAGTCTTTCCCTAATCATTTAAGTGATCTTAATCTGAGGCTCGCCCTCTCTTTAGTTTTCCTTTGGTTTGCTTCTAAGCCGGTATCGCAAGTCGGCTTTCCCTAAGAAGAAGCATACAGCACAAAAAGAGGGCGGGGTCTGCGCAAGCGCGGCACGGGTCGGGAGCCTCGGGTCCCGCAGACTCGGTTTACCTGCGTGCTCCTCCTCGGGCGCACTTGCTGCTACTCAGCCACGCTTACAGCCTGGGAGGGAGACCGGCCGGACTCGGGCGCCGCGCAGGGGGACGCGGGTAGCCAAGCGGAATGCGCTCGGCTCAGTGACCCTCGAGCTGCTCGCTGCGCTGCGGCCCCAGCGGAAGAATTCAAGGAATGCAGCCCGATGCCACCGCGGCTCGGAGCGGGTCAGGTGACGGGCTGCGCCCCGCCAGCCCGGAGAGCTACCTCCAGGGAAACGCTGTTTCCTGGGCCGGACGCAAGGCCCGCTCCGGTGGAGGAGAGTTGTTTTGAACAGAAGACAAAAACTCCCTGTGTTCGTGAAAATCTATACTTGCCAGGGGGTGGGGAGCAGCTGGAGCAGGACGGGCGGCTCAGGGCGAGGGCTGCGGGGACAGGAGCGGGCTGCCCGAGCGACGGCCCCTCCGGATTCACGCACGCCCTGGGGCCGCCACAGCCCAGGGAGTCTCAGCTCCTGAAGAAACTGCGCCCGTATTCTGCCTGTGCAAGTCTAAGGGGATAGGCAGCTGCTAGTGAAGGGAACGAATTCACTGCAAACACGCTTACACTTCCATTTCTCCGCTTTCTTCTCTGGGAGGTTCTCAGTGAAAATCGTTGAGGACTCTTAAATAAAATTTACCCTGCTTTATCTATGGACACTTCAAGGAAGAAAAAAAGAAGAACCCACTGAAATCCTCCCTTACCATTTAAACTGTTAGGTGTGTGTTTCAAGCAACAGTTCTAAGCTGTAATCTTCTCTCCCTCTAGTTTTCTGTACCCGTTGTAGGTCTGTTTCCTATCAAATCATCTGTCTGCGGGCAAAGCGTTCAAGCAGCTGTCCTGCAGAGAAATCCATCTCATTCAGGACCACAGGATGTGGGCCCTGGCTGCCCACAAAGGTGAGAGGTCAGGGTGGCCTCCGTTGAACCGGGTTGGCTGTGCCAGCAGAATGATCTAATAAATCTTCCTAGGCACTCGGGGATCAATCATATTTACACCTTCCTCAGGTAAAGGCCTGTTCCTAGGAAGAGTTTCACTATAAGAGAGAGCATTTAGTCCTCCTAAGAAGACATGTTTCTTCTTAGTCATTTTCTGGTTTATAAGACACTTCTAACGTCTCTTATTTTAATGGGACAGCCTAGATTTCTTTAGCCTTCCCTTTTCTTTATCCCTAGTCATTATGACTGGTTTTTATCCCTAGGTTGTATCCAGTGTTCTTCCGTATTGTAAAGCACGTATGGTCCAGAACTGCGCACACCCTGGGACTCCAGAGGGAGAGCAGAGAGGGAAGAGAGTTAGAGCCTGGATGCAACTGTGTTCAGTCTCAGCTGTGCATTCCCTGCAGTGTAAACCTGGGCGGATGAATCCAGCTGAGTTTCAGGTTCCTCGCGTGCACCTGAGAATTGTGATCTGGGTTGCCGGCCGGTTGGATGGGATTATATTAAACATTTAACACAGAGCCTGGTGTATAGCAACCACAAAGGAAGTGACATCCACTATACCCTGAGCAGCATTATCATTCTTGTAGGTCTCTTTTCTGTTACACACATCCTATGCCACACCTTTTGAAACATAATAAATACACCCCTGCGGTGCTAACTAAAATAAGTTCACAGTATAAAGATACCTTTTCCATTTGGATCTCTTTTATATATTAGTTATCCTTTCTCTCACTTGGGGTGAAGAGCAGTACTACATTCTGAACCCAGGGCAGGGCCTTCACACCCAGCTACCTCCCCAACCCTTTTAAAGTTTTTTTTTTCTTTAGAGACAGGGTCATACTTAGTTACTAAATTGCCCATGCTTGGCCCAAACTTGTAGTCTTCCTGCCTCAGACCCCCAGAACGCTGAGATTCGAGAAAAGGGCACCAGGCCTGGCCCCTTAGTGTAGTTCACTTGTTATCTGTCAGCTTCGCTACCTTATGTGCGTTCCTCTTGATTTTTTCAGCAACGTTTTCTTATTTCTTGGTGAGAGAGAAACTTGCTGAGGTCCTACCCCTGCCAATAAGAGAGTTTTCCCCACAGAGCAGACATGGACTAGCACACAATGTATCTTCAGCTGTGTGTACTGGCATAATCCAATAACTGAATTTGCCTTGCAAGCACAGTATTTGCTCCCGTGTTTATTAGTGAAAAGGGAGTGCCTTTCAGCTACCAGTTTCTTTCTTTATGATTTTCAAGGTGACCTACGGTCAGTGTGCTCCAAGAAATATGCTAATAGCTTCTTATGCATCTGCAGATTCTGCTGTATGAACACGTACATGACGTGAGGACTTAATTCTTCTGCCCTTGGGACAGTGCCCATAGAAAAATTAAAGCTTTTTGGAGGAGGGCTTGATAAACATAACTGACTCAGGAAGCCAATTTATTCTGAGGAATTTATCCAGCTTCGAACTCAGTTTAGGACTTGCCCCATTTCCTCACTTTAGAAAATTGTGGACTTTACTCATTCTGTTTTGGACAACATCCCTCTGCATCAAAACACTTGCATTTTATTCACTTGAATTTAAAATGCCCACTAACTAACTTAGACCCATTTGGGTTGTAGAAACTTTCGATCAAGTCCTCAGATTTTCCCTTGAAAGAAAAAGATTACAGATGCCTTTGAAGGAACATCTTTTTCACAGTGTGAAAAGACTACAGGCGTTCCCATGGGAACTGGCCGCATGGTTGTCTGCCCTCCCTGCCGATGTCCATTGTTCCCGCTGTCGCTCAGTTTCCTCTGCTGTGGCATGTTGCTGTACTTCACATCAACCGAGAGCGGTGGTGCTGGGCTTTTCTGAATGATGCTAAAGGACTCAGCCTCAGTCTTTTGGCCAGAACTCATCGAGTCCAACTTTGTAGCAATTATCATAAGCACCTACAAAAAGTAATTTTGGCCATCTATCCAGCCAAGAGTTAAAAACTTATATAATTTTGGATAAATATTGCAACTCCTGGAACACAAATAAATAGCAAACATTTTTCTTCACAGGGAATAAGAGAAAACGTTAGGCTAATAAACTTTCTGAAACTGCGAATTTTGCGATCTCTTATAATGATTTCATAGTGTGTCCATTTTCATTTGTAAATTTTGACTTGACCAATTATGATTGCTCTGCAATGATGTAAACCTTGCTTTCAAAAAATCTTAACACAAATTCTATGGGTTTATTTCTCCAGAAAACTTGCCCAAACTCTCAAACTATGAGAAACACTCAATGTTAATTGTATCTTCATTTACAATTAAATGTCATCTATTATAACTATGTGACCAATTCAAATAATCTCCTCAGTATTTTACTATTTTTTAAATTAAAAACTATATAAATGCCATCGAACCCAATGGCTGATTGCTATGCCAAATTAAATGTTTGTCTGAAAGAACAAAACGGTGGTTAAATTCAATTATAATCTGTAAGATCTGTGCAATACCAAAGGGGGAAAAATAACAGCAATAATATGATAATGGTGGCTCTGTCCAACCCACTGACTGTAACGATGCTATTTAACTTCATACATTTAATATATACAACCATAGGCAAGGCCAGTTTCTCTGTCCATTGCAAAATCTTTCTGGAGGTAAACAAAATGTGGTGAAAATGAAACTAGACTCTCATGGAGCTAAACAAAAATGTACATCACGCGAATCTAGGCACACAGCTTTCTGCTTCTAAGACCCAGAGATATGTTTTAATCACCCACTGAGAAGTGACTTTTTTACCGTAATAACTGAAACACATGCATATGTGGCTAGACACACAGTTCCCAAACGTGCTTTATCTGTGTAATCAGCCCACCCTTCGAAGTTCCTGACCCATTCCTCCAGCCCCACTCCTTGCCTCCCTGCAGCTTCTGACATTTACGATAATTAGCTTTTGTTTTTGTCAAATAAGAAACAGAAAAAAGACAGTCATACCTCTTAATACAGCACGCTTTGACCATCACTGGAAACAGAAAGCAAAATGCTTGATCTTTAAAGCCCTTGAGCTGGGACCCATGAGCCCGGTCCTATCTGCGGCTGCTGGCGCCTCCCTGCGTGCTTGTCAAGCCAGCGGTGCACTTGATTCCCTCCTGTGGACTCACAGTTCATAATCAGAATTCAGTAAATAAATAACTCTCCCCCGCTAAACTTCTATTTAGATCTAACGATTAACAAAATGCTTCCCTTATTTCTATAGTAGATTTATAGAAACTTCTTCGAGCAGATCTGCACTTTGAAAGAATTAGATTTGTCTGCTAACCAGTCATTTAGGTCTGTTAATGAATAACTCACTTTAAAGAACCAAGGAAGTTTTCAACTAATTATCAGATGTGGGGCCTTTTCACAGGCATCAGGAAAAAGGCTTGGGGAGGGAGGAAAGGAGGGAAGTATTGGAATGAGATGGTATAATGATAGAAGAAAAATACCACAGAAAAGCAAAATAGCAGAAATCTAACTGCATGTTGGTATTCCTAATGAAACATAGAACAATTGAATCAAGCACCCCTACTAGCACTAGGGATTTTTCCAAGCCAGGGTGATTCCCTCTTGCATCAACTCAAATTGCTAACTCACTTCCTTTGCCTTCCAAATATAGAACTCCTCTCTTTAAGCCTAATGTACTGGGGATTCCTTACAGGCAGGCCCACATCTCTTTCTTAAGAAGAATGCACGCCAAAGCCGCTAATGCATAAATTAATCAGTGGTGCCCAGTTATATTGTTACATCCGCAGGCTCTTCTTTCCCCTTAAGGGTATAACGCAGACTTTCTCTCTTTATTGATTTGGACCTTTACCTACATATAAAGTGATAGTGTATTTCTGAGCACTTCCTAAGCAGAGCTTTCATTCAAGATGTGTGAATGTATTAGAGGCACTGCAGAGGGGGAGAGTAAGGTATAATGTGTGAAACTGGAGACAGCAACATGCCGTGTCACTGGCAGTCATGCTGCTATGTAAATAAAGTGCCGGCTGAAGTAAAGGCCACATTCATTTTAGTGAAGGTTACCTTCTCTTGTGTTTACCACACAACATGTACTAATCCTATTTCTAGTCAAACTGTACTCAAATTTCCCTGTTCTTTGGGTAAAGTTGATGCCCATAAACAGAATGGGCCTTTATTGGTCTCAGCCACCCCAGGTAATTACATTCCCCTGAACATACAGACTAATTTAGGGGAGATGTGGACCCTCCCTCCAGACCTGTCAGGGACAAAAATGCATGTTCTGCCCTGGGGGAAAAAGTCTTTACTACTAGGTGACAAGAAGACATAAGATCTGGTTTTTCTTAACTTTGCGTCATCAAGACACCTGGTGAGTTTATTTGGGCCCTTAAACCTTGTGTCCTTGAAACTGGAAAGATCTATCTTTCCACAAGTGCTGCTAAATTTCTGAGTGACTTCCGGGATTTTAGGCTGGGTTTCTGCCATTATCATTGAAAAAAGTCTGCCTGACCGAATCAACCTAACCTAGGTTTGTGGGAAGATCCTCTTGAGAGTACATCTTAAAGACTAAGTAGAGCAAGAGACACATCAGGACTCATCTGTGACAAATGGGACCTTCAAAGACAAACACAGACTTCCTCTAAACACCAGTAGCAGCAAGAAAGGCTTGGAAAGAAATATGTCATTCAGTGTACCTGAACGGAGCTTTCCAAATTAATTCTGCCCAACCAGCTACACGTTCGCTTTGTAATACTTCCCCTTCATTTCCAAGGCTTGCTTAGCCGTGCCTGGCCACAAGCTGACTTCAATAAACAAAGTCATGGAACCCATCAACCCTTGCATAATTTTCATCATTTCCTTTTGGTAATTAGCTTTACACAGTATTATTTGTCTATCTTTGTGTTTTTCCCCTCCATTCCTGCCCAGCTCTGAACCATGACCCTTTTGGGGGAATTTGAAATAAAACATCTCTGACCGTAAAATTAGACCAAGATGTTTTTCTTTACCAAAAACATGTTAGTACAGAGATAACTCGGACTGGGTGAATTATATATGGGCACTGAGAATCTTTGGCCAATACCTATTCTTATCTGAAACTATCGATACTCCTTTCCGGTACACTATTTCTGTGGTCAGCCTTCTGGCTCTGGGAGAGTCTGCTGTGGACATAGAAACTCAGACATATCCAGGACTGCTTGTGGAAGGATGCAGAAAATCAACAGTAGGAAACAGAAACGCTGTAAAATCTAGAGACCTGAGACAACAGCCTCAGAAGACTAGTAAAATATCCCTGCACCTGCTGCTCTGATTCCACAGCTGGGGGAGGGAAAGTCTTCTTTCTGTATCTATAAAGGGGAAAGAGAGTCCCAATAGTTTGGAATTTACAGTCTACCGTGAGTCCCTGGGGTGCTGTCGCCAGGGGCTATCTTGATGTGTTGTCTGAGCATGCAGTGCTCTAAGGGCCAGAAACCTGTGCCCATTCTCATTTCTGGGACGGAATGAACATGATGCTAGAGTGACTCTGTGTGTGGCTAGCTCATAAATCAGACTTGGTTCAGTCAAGTGACTGACACAACCTCCACCGTGGGTGCCACAAGGTTGGGAATAGATGTTATGACACTTGAGGGGAATGCAGGAGGCCACCTTTAAGAACCAGGGGGATCAGGGAATAGGGGACCTTTCCCTCTGAGACCACGGGCATGGTCGGGCCTGTGTGGTTTCACCCAAGATCCAGGACTGCAGGCTGTCACATGCATGGTCTTTCCATCCCTGCCCTCAGCAGTATGCAAGGCCTGTCTGTCGCTTACAAGATAAGAAAAAACTCTGTGTTTCTACGGCTCCAAGCCCAGAGGTACGCTGGGCAGTCTGAGTAATGCCGTGGCTCTGACTGTTGCCCTGGCTGCGGGGTTCACAGCCCGTGAAGGTCTGGGGAAAAACTGCCCGGTGCTGGCACATTCAGCCCTCGTCTCACCCTGAAACACTCCAGGGGATAGGAATTTTGCCTGAATTCAGCTGTGATCAACACCGATATCCCTGGCAGATACTAGAGCTGAAATAATTTGGGGAAAAGCTCCTAGCCGTTAACCTGTCGCCAAGTTTACACGGCTGGAGAGAAGGGGTTGTTAGGGGGTCCCATGCCCAGGCAGCATGCATAGTAGCAGCAAAGAAGTGCACAACTCCTGTTGTCACTACACCTGTGTGAGTCTCCATCGTAGGTTACTCCCGCCCAGTGTCTGATCACACACTGCTACCGAGACTGGGTATCACGCCACAGAGGAATCACTGAGTGATTCCTGCCCTTGCCTTTCCCTGTGAAGCACGTGGGGCTCCATCACCATCTAGTCAGAGAACAAGTGCTTTAGTTCCGTCGCTACTGTCAGTGTCACCAGTGCCAGAGACCCTTACAGGTAACAGAGCCAGCGTCGACAGTGTCTGAGGAAGCTCCCATGTGCCTCATGAGGAGCACCACTCTCAGTGTAGGAGCAGCCACACAGGGAGCACCCGACCCTCTCTGTACATTTGGTAGAGTGACTATCTCTAACCCTTTTATGGAAAGGCTTTCTTAGTAGATGGCTTTCTTCTAAAGATGTATCTTGGGGGGTACTGTTTTTTATGAAGTATTAAGTTTATTTCCAGCTGGGTACTGTAAGGTAATTTCCCTGTAGCTTTGTTTTTTGGTTGTGAATAGTTAATGTGAGCACAGTATGTACTCTTTTGGAGTTGGAGAGCTCTGTTGTCTTCAGAGTTCTCACAAGAGAAAGGACATTTTAGTGGTTCAGAAAGAATGATGTTGCCACCCGAATGTAACAAGAGAAAAATGAGAAAACAAGGTAATATGACACGTCCTAAAGGTCATAACTTTCAGCTGAGAGATTCCAAAGTTCCTGAAGTGGAGGAAATGCTTAATAAATGATTCAAAAGAGTGATTCTTTAAAAATCCAATGAGATCCAAGAGAAGCAGATAAACAATCAAATGAAAATAGGAATAAAATGTAAGACACAAACAAAAAATTGAACAAAGAAATTTTTAAAAAGAATAATCAGAAATCTTGAAATGAAGAATGCAATAAATCAGATTTAAAAATTCATTTGGAAGCCTTAAGGACAGGTTAGATTAAGTGGAAAAAAGAATGTTAAAGAGTGAAAACAGGCCTTTTGAAATATAACATTCAGACAGAATAAAATGAAAACTAAGAAAGAGCGAAGAGAAAATTCAAGATCTTTGGAACACCATTAAACAATCAAAATCTGTATTATTGGTGAACCTAAAGGCTTTCTATGCTTATGTCTTTATCCAAAGAATGAAGACATATGTTCATATCATACCCATAGCACCTGTGTTTGTAATATCCAAAACTAGAAAAAAACAGTCTATGGAAAGATAAGTGCACAAATTATGGTATATCTATACAATGATATGCTATTCAATAATACAAAGACTACAAAGGACTGAAATATTTATATCTACCAACATAGATAAATCTCAAAGTTGCATATTATAAAAGTGGCCAGTACAAATACAGTCCTACTGGATGGTCCTATTTAAATAAGTTCATGAAAAATGTAAAGTACTCTATAGTTAGAGAGATCACTTGTTTCTTGGACATGTGGGGGAGGGGAGTAAGATGCGGGAGGAAGAGTCACAAAGCATCATGAAGATCATGATGTCACCAGTGTAAACACAAGCAAAACTAGGACAGGGTCCACTTTAAATATGTATAATACTGCCAAATATACCTCAAAGAAGTTGAAAATTATGTCCAACATCAATTGTACCTCAATACTGTTGATAAAAATTGTGGTCAGCATTGGGAGGGAAGGAGAGAAGGCACATTCTTACACCATTGGTGCAAGCATAAACCACTGCCTCCACTCTGAACTTCAGTTGGCTGAGTCATTATGTACAGCAAATGTGTACTCATAAAAAATAAAAATTAGTTGAAACATAAAAATGATCCAGGTATTCCATTTCTAGGACTCGGTCGCAGTGATCATCACTGCAGTGTTAGGAATGTCTGAGAATAGTAAAAACGGAAAAAAGAAAATGCTAAGCCTCTAACCCTGTTCACTAAGACTTGAAGTCAGAGGAGCTGAGTTCAATTCCCAGTATCACAAACAAGGGGATTCTCTTTGTGTGATAATTGTTT